TCCATTTGAGAAGTTTACCGACGATGTCCATGACTCTTAAGTTGTACAGAAGACATTGATGCAGAACAGTGTCGAACGCTTTCTGGAAATCACTGTCGGCCACATGCACAGTGTGTTTTGCATACAGGCCAACTTTGCATTGTGCATGGCAAGTTCGTTGAACATGATCTTACCCTACGAAAACCGCGTTATGCATTGGACAAGAGGTCGTTGGTTTCCAATAAGCTATCAAATCCTTTTTTATGGTCTCCACAATCACTGTGCAGCAGATTGATGTCAGACTGACGGGTCTGTAGTTTGTCGCAAGAGCGCGACCACCGCTTTTGTAAAGAGAAGTAATGTGGGCCGTTTTCCAGTCTGTGGGAATGATTCGAACCTCAAACAACTTTGACACAAAAAGGATAATGGTCTGGCCAGCTGCCAGGCAAGCTCAAAGAACAGCTTTGCTGAGATCTCTTCCGGGCTGGGAGATTTACATTCCCCAAGCTTTTTATTTCATCCAAAATCGCTTCTTCTCGAAACACACTATTTTCAATAATCATATGTCCCATGTTCTCAGAACTAGATAGATTAAAGTCTGCTTCTCTTGTGATTACGGATTGGAAAAACTGAGAACAATGTCCAGCCATATATATACTGTCCGATATCTCCAAACTGTCATAATTCCTTATGGCAGGCATGGGATTCCTGTTATGGGTGCTCGTTCGCAAATAGCTGTAGAGTAATTTCGGATTTTTAACGGTTCGGTGAAACAAAGTATTCCCAAAAACACATGGCCTCTTGAAAATCAGGCTTTTCACCGTACTTCTTTTTATTTTGCACTCTGTCAAAGCTGCATTGTTGTTGTTTTCGCCAAATTTCCTCCACAGCCTCCATTTCTTGTTTATCTCCTTTTTGAGTTCTCGTGTTAGCCAGTGAGGTCGGTTGGATGTCCTAGGCTTTGATACGGGACAGTGGCTCTTCAATAGATGCAGCAACCGCTCCTTAAATACATTCCTATCCTCGTTAACGTTTCCGGAGAAGAGAACACCCCAGTCTATTTGTACTGTCTCAGCTCTTATTTCGCAATAGTCGCCTTTCCATATATTAAGCCTTTTATCGTCTTTTGCATACGATTTAGAATACAGTCCTTTATCCCATAAAGGTACTGCGTGATCACTTCGACCGAGCTGATGTAGGTAATACACCTCGTCTATACTGTCAGGATCTTCGGTACAGATGAGGTCCAAACAACTAGCCTGTTGTCCCCACGCGCTCTAGTTGAAAACGGAACATGTTGCTTGAGGAGAATTTCTAAAGTTGTCTTTAGTAGACTGTAATCGAAGGTATACTTCGAGCACTTCACATGCATATCGTTCCATTGAATGGAGGGTGCATTAAGTTTCCCCATGAGAACGTCTAGTCGACTGGTGATCTCTTTTATGCTTTCCAGTAGAAAATTATCGGGATAGGGATTCGCCTGGGGGCAGGGGACGGTAAATAGGTAAGGCTTCGAGAGACTGCGACTCCCGTGCCTTTATAATTAGTCGAATTGCCTTTGTGTCATCGGAAATCTTGTCGGTCCTTTCACACACTGTTAAGATGCTGTTTACGTACATGGCAATTCCTTTACCTTGGCAGCCTCTCTTGTCTTTACTAAAATTGCTATCCAGTTAGTGCTACTTCAAAATCACTGACGTTCTGTGACAGGCACGCTTCCGTTATTGTTATGACATCCCGAAGCGTACCGGCCACTTGTATTCGCAGGTCACGCGGTCTACCTTTGCCTTCAAGTTCTCTCGGCTATCCCGAGTGTTCTTTTGATCAGTTTGCTGAGTGCAGAGACATAACTCATGGGTAGGTGAGATTGGAAAAGTTGATAACAGGAATTTGAGATTAAAAACAACAGGGGATATTCTAGACCCTTTATTTGATAATGCGGATGGGAGCAAACCAAAGGATTCTCTTAACAGACGGAGGTGTGTAGTCGTTGACCGAGTCTGACCCTCCTGTAACGAAAAAGTGATTCCCGCTGAGGTTTATGTGTTTAAGCATTAATTGAACAGTTTGCTTTACCTGAGCGAGAAAGTGACCGGTCACGCAACCCTAAGGGTTGAGAGGAAAGTCAGAGAACAGTCGGAAACTGTAAGGCCGCAGTCTATTAAAATTATCCCAGAAACAAAGAAGTAACTAATTCGCTTATGCTCAGAAAAATCAACCAAAATTCTTTAACAACTTTGTCTTAATTCAGTCGGACTACTCACGATTGAAAGCCTGAAATGCTGCGAGTTAGTGACGGAACTGAAAAGGATACCTGTGAATTGAGAGCTAAATCGGATTATCTTTAGAGGACGAGAGTCGAGAAAGACTACCGGGGTGGATAAGTTGTCATGTACTTAAGTATGTGTTTGTGGGAAGACCCAGAAGTTTACTGACGGTACTCAAGCCCTTCCCTTGGTGACAAACATATGGGGTCATAGTTCCTTCAGGTTGTGACTATAATAATTATATTAAATGACGGTTTGCAGGCATTGTCAGGGCAAGATTCATCAGAAATCCGGCCAGCAGTAAAAAAAAACTCCTGACAAAACAAAAAATAAAGAGGAAGGTGGTTTAGTATAGTTTGGAGCGTTCAGGAGAAAAACTGCTGTCCATGAAATGGCGACAGTCAAGAAATGGAAGGGTAACACTGCATGGGATATTATCAGTCGCCATTTCCTTATACGAAGTTAGGACTGGAACAAGCTGTAACACTGGAGAACAGCTGTCGCTATTGGCTGAAAAATTTTCCTCAGCGAGGCCGGCCATGAGGATTAGAGACCATGGACGCCATCGCTACGGTATATTTGATCGTTGGATCCAGCACCCAGAATTTGTGGGAGTTTTTCTGAACGCAAAAAACGAGCAATAGTTCTTTCAAGCAAAGGATAATTTTGCAGAATCTTCACATCCCTGGGTAATTTATGCAAAATAACTTTTGTGTTCACAAAAAAGAGCCGATGATATATAACGGTACGCGCTTGAGGAAGAAATAAAAAGACCTCAGGTGACTGTTCCGTCGGGGGTGGGCAAGATATTTTAAAGAAGTGAGCAGATAAAGGTACGACTCTATAGAAGCTTAAATAGTAAAAATAGTCCCTTTTGTAATCTACGAAACCACAGAGGATGACGCCTATAAGCCTGCAACGTATTTTTTACTGATTAATTTACCGATCGCCAAGGACGTATCACGACGCGAATACTTGCCTGTCAAAACATGTAAGAGATTGTTAGTCGATCTGATGTTTTTCTCGTCGTTGACGTCTTTTAAACCGACATTCGATAAATTAATGTTGAGTCGAAGTGGTCAAAGCTTGCCTTCGGTCACAGTAGCCTAAAGACAACACTTGAAGCGCTTCTCACCCAGCATGCATTAAACCCAATAAGAGCGCGTGGATGACGACGTGCTGGCTGTCTGTATCTCGTCTTCATAATTGCTCTTGACGGTATACAGTATACCCCCACCCGGTCGAAGTGATCATGTAGTATTATATGAGAGTAATATCCATATTGCGTGCTGTATGAAAGGGACAAAATGTGGTCAAATATACGGCAAGGATACTTTCGTCAAATGAAAAAACGAGACGTCACATACAGACTGAGGTACTGTCTTCTCCGGAAACGTCACCAAGTACTGGAAGTCACTTAATGAACGTTTGTAGCGTCTCGTGAAGAACCACTGTTTTTAAACAAGTCCAAAGAAGACATAATAGAATTGATTTATTATAGCACCTCTTGGGCGCTCTCGGCCTTCCTTTGAACACCGCTTCCGTGGCTACCAGGAGATGGAGGAGATGGACAAGAGACAAAGGCTGTGAAAGAAGCGCAGTCTTTTAAAGTTTTTGAAAGCCACGTAACGTCCATATGGATTATATTCCACGGTCTCATCACCCTCAGCCATAGGGCCGATGATGCGTTTGGTGGGTTCTTAACCTCACCTCCACACAGACCGCAACTTCGAACGGAAGAATTCACATCGCTATCAATTACTGGCCAAAATATACGTACCTTCGCGCAAGATGCTTCATGCACGTTATACGTCGGTGTCCAGCACTGAGTTCATGTTAAACCTATTAGCAATGTTTAGCCGGAATCGGCATTCTACCATTATGCATCACACATTCTTCGGTGATGTATAAATGATCCCCAGTTCCTAAAAGGCGTTATAGCTGGATGCACTTTGTCTTCGCTTGGCCAACCGTTCCATATAAACTTCTTTACCTAGTGTAAGAGTGGGTCTGATGCAGTGTGTTCGGCTGTGAGAAACACCTGTCGGAGGACACCTTTAAGCTAGTCATCGTCTTATATCGGGTTACTTGCGACCACCACGCCTCAATGATTTTTTTCGCCTACGTCCACTTGTGATAAAGTGTCTGAAGCTCCGAACTTCTGAGTGAGCATGTATTGAATTGTGAAGTCAACTCTGGAGTGTGGTGCATCACCGTTGTGTTATCTCGGCCGCGTAATGCGGCATGCAGCGATTCATGCCCATCAGAAACTTTTATATTTGATGGCCCGTGTGGAGGACGAAACATGTACCGTAGGTGAGTTGGTGGAAATTCTGCACTGTTAAGATAATTGCCAGCGCCTCTTTCTATATTGGACTGTGGTTTTCTTCTGCCCTTGTGTGTCATCGTGGGACATGCATCAAGGCAGGAAATTTCCGTCTAGATCTTTTCGACGAAGAAGAATAAGAAGAACGCCCTAAAGCCCATAACCAGATGCATCCGTTTGGACAACTCTCTTTATTTGCTTCAAAATGTGTGCGCTCGGTTGACTCCTTAATTCTCACCTTTATCTTGTCAACCTCTTCATGAAAGGCTGCAGACCAGTCAAATCTGGCATCCTTGGAAAATATTCGACTTAATGGTGGCTTAAAACTGTGCAATCCTTCAATAAATGGTCAGTCCTAGCTAACGTAGCCCATAAATGACTTAAGTCCCATAGACAATTTGACGCCTTCGCATTCTTAAATGCAGCAAATGTTCCTGGGTCTGATGAGTGTCCTGCTCGCTTGCCACAAACTGCAGGCAGTATATCCCTTTCCGAAGGAACTTGTTCTCTTCCATGTCAATTTTCAGGCCATAATCCACAAGAATATTTTCGACCTTGACAAGCATCCGGAGCAGCTCTTCGTCAACACGGCCAACGACGAAAATGCCATCCAAGTGGGCAACGGTTCCGGTAACATTTGTGGCATGATGCCCAGAAGGCTATAAAATACTTTAGGCGCCGTTCTGATGACATAGCTGAGACGAGTAATGGAGCTGGAAAAACGGAGAAGCAGCGGCGAAGCAGCGGCGAAGCACGCCTACGAAGCAAGAACGGACAAATAGTTCAGGTCAAAGGGACATTTCTCTGGCCGAAGGCCGTCATTTTGACAGCCTAACCAACGCAAAGTTGTCAACTTTTGAGGCTGTGAGCACCAGTGGTCGCTGTCTAGAAATCTGTTACACTAACTTTCAGGGTCTCTTCAACAAGTTAGATGAACTCAGATTACTAGCTTCTGAACAGAAGCCTCACATAATTGTCTCAAAAGAGACATGGTTGACTGAGGAAATAAGTAGCACCGAAGTCAGTATTGTAGACAACCAAGTGCTCCGTTGTGACAGATTTTAACTAAGAGGAGGAGACACAGCGATTTATGTGTCAAATGAAGTTCCATGATGTCAGCGAGAAATATCCGATGTGACACCGCCAAATTTTGAAATAATTTCATGCAATATGTGTATCAAACAATTACGGACACTTTGTCTGTGTGTTGTCTATCGGCATTCCAGCTCGAATTGCATCGCCGATGCAGAATTACCTAGTGCACCGGAGTTGCTATGTAAGCAGGAGTACTTACTACTTCTGGGTGACTTTAAAGCTCCAGAACTAGACTGGAAAATTCCTTTAACAAACGCTCCGTCCACGTCATTCGACCTCAAACTACTGCAACTCCTTCTGGATGAATGCCTCATTAAACAGATAAAAGTAGGAACAAGACTGAGAGGAGGGCAGGGACTCAACGGTTTAGATTTCGTTTTCAGTAAAGAGAAAGGAGTCATAAGGGAGATGAATGCGAGACATCCACTCGCTTTAAATGGCCATATTTTTCGTCTAGTTTGCTCTCTCCTATTGAACCCACAACCACAAATTAAAAGGCGACGGAATATTTGGAAGGGTGATTTGAAAACAGTGAAGCGTGGCGCTTCGAAAGAACCCAGGTCAGTCAACCTGGAAGATTCAAAAGAATCCTGGCAGTATTTTCGCGGGATTATTGGGTTTTATTGAATCCCATTGTCCTTTGACAATAGTGAAGCCGTGTGCACGACCGCCGTGAGTCATCCCGATGACAAAAAAGATCATGAAGAAGAAACAGAGGCTGTGGAAAAATTACTTGCATTTCGAGATCTCATAACATTCGCTGAATATAAGAAGTAACGTAATAAATAGAATGGGAGAGAATAGCACCTCCTGGGCACTGTAAGTTCTGTGAACACTGGAAAAAAACTAAATCAAACTCATCCATTTCGACTACGCTTTGGCTCCATTGGATTGGGTGTCTGCTTCGTCAATAGGCACGAACTAAGAGTTTGTTTTAAGTTAAACGACCTGAGTTCCAAGGAAAAATCATAGCGACAGTTAGCAAAAAAATCAATATACAGAATATGAAGCTTGCAGTGTAGAGTTTGTTGGAATTCGGGATCATGAATATATCGTCCTTCGCAGAACGTGAGAAACTTTGACATCGGCCTGAGATTGAAATTGCCGCAAATTAGTACGGGTTCCTAGAACATTCTGCCTGCGCCGACTAACAAAAGAGTCCAATATATGTCCCGAGAAGTTTTATAGGTGCATTAGCTGTAGAAGAAAGCACAAGGACGAAGATATGTGTTAAGGTAATGGCGTCGGGAAGTTGTTAGTCGAAGGACCACAGAAAGCGCAATTACTGTGTCAGTTTTTTCGATCGGTTTTTACGGTGAAGTCCTCTGAAGACAACCAGGAGTCTGATAAGGGCAAACATACTGCCGCCATTGAAACCGTTTCCTTCGGCGTCGAATAAGTAAGACGCGTCCTCAGCCAAATGGAGTCAGACACATCTCCTAGAGCCGACGGTATTCCTGGGCTGAAACTTAAGAAGCTATCAACAAAGCTGTCAAATCCTCTTTCGACTATCTTTGAGCTGTCAATGAAAACAGGAAGGCTACCGTCACAAAGAAAGAGAGATAATCTCGTTCCCTTGCATAAGGGAAGTGGTAAGCTGGCAGCAAGCAGCTTTAGGCCTATTAGCTTAACTTGCCTCTGGTGCAAAACGATGGAACTCTAGTAAAGAGTGTTATACAGCAATTGTGTTAAGAAAATAACATCTTGCAGGATTTTCAACTTGGCTTCCGGAGAGGACGTTCCTGACTCTCAAATCTGCTAGCTTGTCTGGAGACCTGGACCAGGGCTCTAGAAGAGGGTTTTGAGGTCGATGTCGTGTACATCGATTTCCACAAAGCTTTCGATACTGTTCCGCACCAACGCCTTCTTCACAAATTGAACGCCATCGGCATCCGGGCAGATCTTCTGAACTGGATTAAGGCGTTTCTGGTTGGTCGGAAACAACGTGTCTGTATCGGAGATGATATGTCAGAATGGGTGAATGTGACCAGTGGTGTGCCTCAAGGTTCAGTTCTGGGACCATTGCTCTTCATCCTATATGTTAACGACAGCCTCCAGGAAATCGACTGCGGCAAAGTAATGTTTGCAGACGACGTTAAGCTCTGGCAAGCCATTAAGTGTTCTTACGACCTGAGAACACTTCAAAACACTCTGCATCGAATGCAAGCGTGGTCGGAGAAATAGCTTCTAGATTTAAATGTGCAGAAGTGTGCCGTCCATCATCTGCGTCCAAACAACTGTTTTTCAACTGAGAGCCCGAGGGCATATCATCTGAAAGACATTAGACTTCCCACAGAATCTTCACAGAAGGATCTCGGTGTTTGGATACAAAGCGACATGAACCCAACACTACAGTGCATTAAGGTTGCAAAAAACGCCATGTGTGCTCCATGCAAACAAAAGGGCATTCGTAACCATTGACAAAGACCTTTTTGGAAGAGTTTACGGTACCTTTGTTCGGCCTCATTTAGAACATGGCAAACAAGCGTGACGGCCACGGTTAGTAAAGGATCAAACGTGCCTTGAAAGAGTACGACGTCGTGCAACAAAGTTGGTGAACGGTCTAAAAAGCCAACTCTGCATAGAAAGACAGCATTGCCTTAACTTATTACCTCTGTGTTACAGGCAGCAAATAGATGATCTTATCCTCGTCTACAGGATACTACATGGCCTTCAGCATGGACTTAGATTTGAGGACATGTTTCAGTGGCACCTTTCACCCAATATTCGTGGTCAGTCAATGAAGCTACCGACAAAAATGTCCAGGCTGAATCTTCGTTCTGAATTTTTCACGTAAAGGGTAGTCGGGAAATGGAACGATCTCCCTCAGTTAGTCGTGGAGGCGACGTTTCTGCAACTGTTCAAGAAACGCTTAGATAATTATTTGTGTCCCCTATTTTCCCTCGTCATTCAAAACCTGAGCTAAATAGCCCGCGATCCTCGGGAGTTAGTTCCTTGAAACAATGCTACTCAAATGAATCAAGTACCGTTTTAATAGCGAATATGTTCATTGTTAGTGTACAGTTGTATCTAAGGTAATGAAATATAATTAATAGGGTTTTCAAAGGCCTTACCTATTATCCATACCAAATAAACAGAAACAGACTAAATTTGGAGAGAACCCTGTGTGTACTTATTGTCATCATCTCCTGCTCTGCCTCATCGAATGGTACCTGTAAGTTGGCCTCTGGGAGCCCAATTCTTGAGAAAACTTCTCCTCCATTCAAGGTCGCAAAAATATGGTCCACAGTTGGCAAAGAATAATGCTGGTCTTCTAACACGTCGTTCAGCCCAGTCGAGTAGTCTGCGCACAACCTTATTCTACCATTAGGCTTCTTTACCTCCACTATCGGAACAGCCCACGCCAGATACTTTGTGGGGCAGATAGTGCCATGCTGTTGCAAACTCTCCAGTTCTCCCCCAACCGCAGCCTGCACTTTAAATGGACGTGCGGACTCTAACTACAGATCGGTTTCTTCCCTGGCTTCGCACTCTAACTTACTGTGGATATGTGCACGTTCCGACGGACATCTCAGTTCGTTCGGCATTCTTACTCTTCAGATCCTCTTCCATAATGCTAACGGTACAACATGTCTCCTGCGACAGCCGACTACAGAGACCCAACTGAGAGATAGCCTTGTTGCCAAACAGAACGGTCTGAGGCATAAGTGCCCGACAAGCAGGCCTTGTCTTCGGAAGCGATAGTTGCCCGGAAAACACCTTCAAACTGCGTTTGTATATTATTTGATACCCGATCAAGGACGGCGTTTGGCTTCAGTTCTGACGACCAAAGGGACTCCTACACGCTTGCATCAATTTACATAAGGTTTGACATTGCCTCAACCTGTAATGTGATGGGTTCTCCATCAATGCTGACAGTTAGATACTTTCCATGTTTGCAAATAAACACTTATGAGTGCTGTTGGGGTATCGCATTGCATCTCTTTCGTGGACTCAACTGCCTAGCACGACAGTGTGTCGCTTTATGACCGAGCCGCGAACGCTTGTAACACCACTTGATGTGATACGGGCAATTGGACATTAAGTGCCATCCGTCACACTGCCAACCGACTGTTTTTGGTTTCCTTGGGGAATTTCATTTGTCTCTTGGCTTTCTGGCTCTTGTATCATACACTCGTACTGGTTACCGATCAGCCTAGTGTCGCTCTTGATATTCATGATTCGCACGCACTTTTCTCCTTGTCGTTGAACCGTCATCTCGGTTCGCTGATCTAACTGGGTAAGCAGTCGCCTGCGTACGTCAGCGTCCTCCGAAGCGTCAAAGCTTCGATAAATATAAGGGTCTTGATCTACTGACTCGTGGTCTTTTCTAGGCAGGTTTGGTGATGGGCGCCATTTATCCGACCAGTTAAGTAGAAGAATTTTATGGGGCAGCTTTTCTAGTTTCAAACACGTAGAACGTCTGTTGAACGGCGACTTTGAGAAAGTGAATAAAGACTTCAAATTTATAATTGTGTCCACAAATGAAATATCCGCTGGCTTCCTTGATTCGTCAGATTTTACTCACCGATCATGTTCTCGTTGAATCAACTTTAAAAGTAAGATTTCCACTTTTCATCTGTCTTTCAATTGTGAGCCG